TAATAAGCATTGGTTTGTTTTCGGGGGGGAGGTGGTTTGTTTTTGCAAAACGTACAGAGTGGCTCTGCCATCGGCCAGCAGGAGGGTTCAGAGGGTGGCTTGAAGGAGCTGCTGTCCCCACCTGGGCATCCCTGACGCGTGGGCAGAGGGCTGAGTGGGCGGAAGGGCTGGGGCATGTCTGGGCTTGGGTTCCTTATTGGGACTCTGGACTTGTTGGGTGGCAAGAACATGGGCTTGCCCAGGTCAGCTGGGATGCAACGGGGTTGGGAGCGTGGAGGGTTCAAGGCCAAACAGCCCAGCAGGCATGGCAGGAGGAGGGAGTCCTCAGGAAGAGGTCCCCTGGGGCCAGCTCCTCTGCCACCTCCTTCTCTGAGAAGATGTGGGCAGCCAGCATCCGCCTCACTCCCAGCGGGCAGTGGTTCGGAGTCAGTGTGACTGCGGCCGCCTGCCTGCTGAGCAGGGCAGCCAGTCCGGCTCCTCGGACAGAGCCTCCCTGTGTTCAGAACAGCCTGCGGCCTCTTGGCTGAGCTGGGGCAGGTGGGCGTGGTGGCGGAGAAGTCTCCGTCGGAAGGGCAGGCACCGCGGCAGAGCGCTGAGTGCACTTGTCTGGCCCCAGCACAGTGACAGAGTCAGAAAAAAAAAAGGAAAAAAAAACGACTGTGGGATTGAGATAGTGGATTCAGTCTTCCTTGTGGAATTTTTCTCCACCAATAACTGTCAAAATGGGCAAAATATAACATGTTTAAAACAGAAACCAAAGAAAGGGATACATCAAATAAACTTCCAGACTGTTTTGCAAAGAAAAATATATTTAAAATGGAAAACAAAGTTTCCTCTGTGCTTTCTTCCGCAGTTAAAAAGTGACTGCCACTGCTGCCATCAGCCACGTGGAAGGCTGTGCCGTGACAGTCACGGAGTGTGTGGCTTTTGCTGTTCTGTATTAGCAGGATTAGCTGTTTCCAGAACCAGCCTTGCAATGCCTTTCCCCTTGAGAATCTTTATATTTACTATAGAAATGAAGCTGTACAAATAGACCTATAAATTTTACTTTTACTTACACGCCTTCAACACCTGTTCCATGCACGGCTCTGTGCTGGTTCTGCACAGGGTCCGACATGCCAGCCAGGTGGAACCCTCTCCAGGAGGGGGCCACACAGCCTGAGAGAGCAGTTAAGACAGTCACACATTAGCAGTCACGTGTACAGAGAAACAGGTGCCAGGAAGTATAAGCAAATCCTGCAGAGCAAGGGGTCTTTTTCACCTGGGAGAGCCCAAGACCGCTTCACAGAGGAGGGTGCATTTGCCTTGGGCCTAAGAGGAATTTTCCTCCAAAGAAGACGGGAGAAGGCAACTGTGGTCAGAGAGAACGTAGGCACCCATTCCCTCACTGCCTCCCCCCCGCCCCCATACAAGCCAGAGTGATACCCCAGCGGGCCAGTCGGTTCACACCAGGCTCCTGCTCTTAAACCAAGTTCAAGCTCTCTGAAGAGCACAGCTCATGGTTCTTCCAAGGCCAGCCCTTCCTCTCCCTCTGCTGCTCCCCCAACCCCCTCCCCCTCTGCCCCCACTCCAGCCTAGGTCTGTGCCCCCCACGCACGGTACACCTGGCTGGCGAATGCTCTCAGTCGTCCAGATGAAACAGCCTCCTCCACTAGACTCACACGCGCTGGTCCCTCTGCTGCAAACACTTTGCCCTCCACGCTCCCCTTCCCTGGAGCCCTCCCCGTCCCTCCTGCCCCCATCCACCCACAGGGGCTCCCAGAGGCCAAATACAGTACAATCAGGGATCCAAAACAGTAATGGCAACAAGGGATAGCAACGCATTGACTAAAAAGTAATAAGGATTCACGAGTCCTTAAGTCCCTAGTGACACATGGAAAGAGAGAGAGAATGTGAGAATATGCCCGACAACAAATCATATTTCTGAGAATACCAATTAGAGTTGTTTTAAATTTCTCTTCCATCTATGAATTATCTTTTTCCTCTGGGACGAGATTTGTCCAGTAGTGGTCTTCTTCTTGCTTCTCTAGCAGGGTTTTCTCAATAGCTGGGTCTCTTGGTAGCTGAGAATGGGGCAGTCGCCAGCCCTGAGCATTGTGTCCTGGGTGGGACTCTTAGCCAGGGAGTTTTGGTTTAACGTGAGTCCTGGCAGGTGGGTTAATTGTTCCATAGGCTTCGAACCTCTTGGTACTTTGGGTGCAGGTTTTCTCCCGGGTTCTGTAAGGCAAGGGGCTTCCCTGCCAGCCGCAGCCCCCTGTGTGTTCCATGAGCTACGGTTTCCAGCCTTCCGTGGCACCCACCTCCGCACAGTGAGAGTGCCCATCCCCCGGCACCCTGGGCCTCCCCTCGCAGCTCTTGCGTTACTCCTTTCTCGGTCTTCCTGCTCCTGTGAAAGCTCCAGGAGAGCAAGGGCATCCCACTGCCTGCGGCCTGGCAAACATACCTGCCCGAAGGACTGCCGCAAAACCTCCTCTGCAAAAGCAAAGCCTTGACACGGCACAGGCCGGAAGGTGGCCCAGGAGGCCAGCATGGCCGCCACAGATGAGACTCAGGTGGGGACAGGGAGGACAGCTGGCAAGTGATGAGCTCAGGAGCCCGTGGAGAGCTCCAGAGATGCCTGGGTGGGGCGAGACTCGTGCTCCCTCGGGCTGGGGCCGCTCGGAGCACGCGCGAGCACGCGCGAGGTCGCAGCCACGCGCTGCATGCACGGCAGCTTCTCCCGTGCAGCTGTGGCTGTGCCGTGGGCGCCGCGCTTCTCCGCACGTGGGCACGCGCTGGGGATCGCCCGGGTGGCTCCAGACCGACCTCTGGGATTCCGTAGTTGTGTTTTATTCTAATGCGTGTTAGAAAACCAACAACCTATCCATTGTGGTTTCCCCATAGTATTAGAGAGCTTCCTCTTTAAAGAGCATAAATTATGTTGGTGATAACCATGCTTCCAAAACCATAAATAAATAAAGAGCACACATTTAAAAGTGAGTCGAGTTAAAGAAACAGTGTTTCTGGTGGTCGGGGGTCTCAGATCTGGCAAAATCCTCCATGAGGGAGGTGGGGAGGGGCTGTGAGCCAGCGCAGACTTTGGGCGGAAGCGCGTGGCCCTTGCGCCCTGACAGGCGTCCGTGGACTGTGGCGTCGCGGCCGGATAGCAAAGCAGAGACTCAGGCTGGGAGTGGCAATTCTCAGGTTGAACATGGGATTTTTTTTAAATCGAGGTAAAATTCACATAACATAAAATTAACCATTTTAAAGTGGACAGTTCAGTGGCATTTCATACATTTATACTGTTGTGCAACCATCACATGTGTGTAGTTCTAGAACGTTTTCATCTCCCCTAAAGGAGACCCTGTCCCCACCCCTCTCTTCTCCACCCCGCACCCCGTCCCCTGGCAGCCACTGATCTGCTTCTATCCCTGTGGCCCTGTCTGTTTTCACACACATAGGGCCGTACAAACAGGGCCGCTCTCACTCACCCTGACATTTGCAAGGTGCACGCGAGCCACAGCGCCCGTCAGAGCTCCGTTCCTTTCTGCGAGAGAACAAAATATTCCTCTGTATGGAGAGACCACATTTTGTTTATCTTCTCAACGACGATGGATGGATTGAACGCGCACTTTCTCTATTCTTGTTTCATCCAACAAGTGTTTGTTAAACGCCTGTTGCACACAAGCACAGGTGCCAGGTTTGGGGCTCTACGGGGCCGTCCCTGCTGTCCGCACCCTCTCTGTGTGGTGAGGAACCAGGGCGGGCGGGCAGTGGCAGGGGCGAGAGCTGCAGAGGCCGGGTGGAGCCTGGTCTGGGGGCCACACCGCCACGGAGGGCTGTGCTCAGCCTGCTGAGAGGCTTGGCCTTCGTCTTTTGGGGGATGGAGCCTCTGGGGAGCTCCAAACAGACCCCGCTGTGGGGCTTCAAAGGGGCCCTTCATGAGGCCAGGTCTGCCACAAGCCCCTGCTGGCAGGAAAGGGGTGGCCCTGAGCTGGACACCCTGGGCACAAGGGCCAGAGCAGCGGGACTGGGCATTGGGGGGCGGGGGGTTGCCAGGAAAGCTTAGAAGGAAAAACAGGCGGGGTTTGGGGCTTGCTTGGACATGGGGAGTGAAGAAAGAGGAGAAAGACATCAAGATCCAAGGCCCAGACACTCAACACCAGGTGTGAGGGCACACAGTGTTTGGCCACCACATGCTAGAGCCTGACACCGGAGCCCAGGAAAGGAGGGCCACGTCAGGTGCCAGGGCCATGGGTGCTCCGGAAGCCACCCGCTGGAGAGATGCTCACGTTACCCCACTGTCTGCTTCCCCTGGGAGCTGCACGGGGAGGATGCACAGTGCTGCGGAGACCCGTGGACGTGATGCAGACCAGCGTCGTCCCTTTTGCCCCTCCCGAGCGTAGCCATGGCCATGACATTGCTCATCAGAAACCGGACTATCGAGTGCGCTATAAACATTGTTGCCTGGAAACATGAGATGAGGGTTTGCAAGGCCAGGCTCTCACTACTGGGAGCAGGTGGACCCTGGTGGCCCAGGGTAGAGGGCTGTTGTGCTGGGGCTCAGAGCAGAGCTGTGGCCTGTGCAGGCCGTGGGTGGCACTGCAGTCTCCCATCTTGGTGCACACAGTCGGCCCCTGAGGACGACATGGTCGGGCGTCTCTGTCCTGGGGAGGCAGGGGGCCCAGGACAGGCTAGCTAGACCCCGGCTCCAGGAAGGGAGCAGAGCCTCCAGGAAGGAGGCAGGACCAAAGCGAGACACGAGGTACCACAGGGAGGCCACTGAGAAGGGAAAGCCGGCACCAGCACAAGACACCTCCGGGAGCCAGGACCACCCACACCTGCTCGGTGGACGGCCCTCCCTGCAGGGACAGCCCAGGGCGAGCTGCCCAGGAGACAGGGCCTGGGCCTGCGGGACATAAACCATTGTCCTGGTCAGCGCAGCACATGCCCTTTACTGTCTGGTCTTGGCAGATAAGCTGTGCCTGTAATTAACAAAAATATTATTCTGCTTTGTACAGGAAGAAGAGGAGGAGTGGAAAATGTCACCGAGTGTTTTCTTTCAGACGATGGAGGAAGGAAATAACATATACAAAGGTCAGTTAGGAGGACTTGCGTGGTAAGCGAGACGTCCCTCTGTCTACCCACCACATGTGGGGAAGAGTTAGATCCCCCATCATGAAAGGCCACTAGTGTATAATTGGTGAAAGAGCAAGACACATAGGATGAGAACATCATCAAAACCTACATCCTCCTTTTGAACTCGTAAGACTTCCACTGAACATTCTCAGCTTAGTGACAGGGAAGAAAGTTATTTCCTAGATTGTTTAGACTAAGCAAATTAATACCGTATGTACAGTACAATGTCTTCATCCTATAAGACTGAGGCATGTGTCTAAATTCTGACACATGCTTCTTTTATGGGTTGTTGAGCATAATTAGCACAGCTGTAATCTGGCTGGATCTGCGGGCCTGTGAATCGGTCTTTCAAATATTTCCATGATAATTTCCTGGAACTATTATCCAATTCCTTGGGTTCTACTCCACCCTCAGGATAAATCCCAACACAGAATGACCCGCCAAGACAGCCCTGGTCCTTGGTGCTGTTGTGTAAGTTCCTGAAAAATGCAATGAGGATGTGAAGTAGAATGTTTCCCAGTGTCAGTCACTCACCTGCCCCCTTCCCAGTCCCGGTCTTACCTGGGCAGCACCGGTACTATTCTTGACTTCATGTATTTTTTAAATTCACTCACAGTTTTCACACCAATGCATTCTCACCCTAAGCAACAACGTCAACGTAGCTATAGGCTCGATGTGCTAATTACGGGAGATGAAAATGTCTGTGTACCACTGAAGTCTCTCTCACACACCACTGGCGGCAGGGGCCCACAGTGCACTGGGCACTGGTCCAGGCCGGGAGCCCAGAGGAAGTGACGACTCGGGCAGGCCTTGTCAGTCCATTGCACTGGGGAGAAAGGCGTCAGATGGGTGACCTGGCCTTTATCGAGTTCCCGAGGCGTGCGAGGCGTGTTGTTTCCCATGCTCATGTCATTTGATGTTCACAACACAGACACCGACAGAAGGCCGGCTGTCCCCAAACGCGACAGTGCAGGGCAGTTGCTGTCAGAAACACTCGCTCACTCCCATAGTCATCCAGCAAACATCGAGTGTCCCCAGTGTGTCGGACGCAGTGCCAGCCTGGATGACGCAAGGATGATACCTGCCACCAACAGCACATGATAGCCTGGGTGTCACAGCAGCGGGTGGGGTGGGGATAGTGGCACAAACTGGGTAGTTTGCATAAATTAGGGTGACGGCTGGGAGTTACAGTAATCCAGGGGCCACGGGCCTGGCTGGGGGCACCCCTGGAACGCAGGTGTGTCTGTAACAGTAATGCCACTTAAGCCCCTGCTCCCTGTGTCATCTTGTGGTCCTTACCGCAACCCTCATTGGCTTCGTGTTCTACATATCTGCCATCAGCCTTCAGGGTAATTTCCCAGCCTTCAAACACGTCAGATAACCTACCGGTTCATTTTCCCCTGAAAACCTCCCTCCTGCACCCCTCCCAGTCAGCTCCGATCCTTGGGCCCTTTCTTGGCCCTTGCTGACTGCCTGCCACTCCCTGGTTTTGGTGGGTCTCATCCCGAGACATCCCGTCACGTACACCTGCATGTCATCCTGTGCTTACACTAAGGTGACAGTTTCCTGGGCATTTGGAAGGCATGGGCCCCGCCGTTCTAGTGACACCACGTGAAGACAGTGAGGGCACAGGAAGAAAGCGGGAGAGAGCAGGAGCCTGCCCCGCATGGCAGCAAGTGAGGAACTCGTGCCCGAAACTGTTACATGGCGAAAGCGTATGAGCGTGGTGCGTGGCCATTGGGGAAAGCACACAGAAAACGCTGAGATGCTCCTGTGAAGCTAGACCATTCCACACGCCCTAGCGGGGCTGCAGTTCCTGCGACGCTGAGCCCCTGCACCCCTGTCCCATTGCACTGACCACATGACTGTGAACCTCTGCTCACGGTGTCCCCAGTAGGACGCCGAGACCCCGAGGGCGGGGCTCTCCATCCTTTCACTCCGAGAGCAGTGCCTGGCCCTCACCGAGCTCAAGAAGTCAAACTTTAATAACTGAACTCATTCCATGTGTTTTGAATGAATGAATTTAGGAAGGCATGCCATTGGGCAATCTAACTGGCAGGTAGACAGGTAGAACAGTGTTTATTATAATCCTTTTCCTATTCTGCCTAGAATGATGTGTATTATTTTGATAAAAGCAAAAATTAACTTGGGGAAAAATCTAATGTTCCCATGGGAAGCCAAGGCTCGCAACCTGCTCACCCTCCCAAAAGCTCTTAGAACCATCCACGCCTTTTATATGATATCACTTTCCACGAAGGCTGGAAGCCCAAGCAGCGTCCCTCCAGAGCGGCAAACCTGCAGTGTCATTTTCCTAGTTGGAGGCCGTGGCACTGGACGTGTTATCTGCCAGGTCTTTGGTAACTTAAAGAAATGAAATGTCTTCGTCTTAGCATTCTTTTCTTAAAAATCAAAGGTTTTCCTTTTCAAATAAAACATTAGCATTTTAATCACTAAGATTATCCCCGCCCGCCCGCCCCTTTCATCACCCCCCCACGTGTGAAACTGCCTTGGCCTCGCTTTTCACATGCTCGGGATAAAAGCTCTTTCTCCGCTCTAGGAGCGAGTGGGGCAGTTGGTGCCCTTTGAGGGCCGTGAATGGCTTCCTGCATTTATAAATGTCCATGAAGTTCCTGAAGGGATTGAAAAGTGCCCTGCGCAAAAGTGTCATGAGAAAAGCAAAGTTTCGGTGGAAAACTCAATCCATTTAAACCATCTACGGGGGAAATGGGCAAAGCCGCTCCCCAGTGTTTCATTTCAAAATACAGTTGCAACCTCAGAATGAGAACGTTCCAGCACACAACTGCGTCCACGCACACAGGCACCTCACGGTTTCCTTTCTGTTGAATACTCTGCATTCCTTTTCTTATTAAATTCTTTGTTTCTCAAATTTAGTGAGTCTTATTTAGTGAGGAAAAAAGGAAAAGTAGCTTTCTGAAATAAAAAAGCTATCTTGTTTAAAATATCTTAATGTAACAGGTAAGTGTTGTTGAAGATTTAATAACCCTACGAGGGGGAACTCTGGAAAGAGTTATTAGTAAATAGTACGTTACGACACGTCTGAACATTTTCTAGTATTTTCAAGGGGGAAAGCTTAAAGATTTGAACACATAAAAGGAAGCATTTATTCCTTTTCTTACATTTTATTTTTACATGTTTTTTGTACATTTTGAGGTTTTTCAGTTTAAGCTTAGGTACATCTCAGAAAATGTACTAAAAAAGAGCAATCATCTTCAAATGAGGAAATCATAAACTAGCTAGGCCCTTGGTGCACACACACTGTGCAAGCTAACCACACAATCCACCTTCCGTGGGGCTTCAGGGCAAAGAGAGATATTAGTGACTTTCAGATATTAGGGACTTAAGGTATTTTTCACATCAGCCGGATGGCACAGGCGAGCTACGCGATGCATGTGTCCTGTGCCCTGGCTCTCGGGCCGACACCCGCCAGGAGGAGCGTGTGACAGGAGAGGAACCCAGCCGGGCTCCCCAGCCCACGCCGGTGTGCCCACCCAGCCCGCCAGCCTTCTTCAGTCCTTCTCCGCTTCTGTCCTCACACCTCAGTCTGGCTGGTCACCCGGACTCAGCCTCACCTCCACCGCTGCCCTCCAACTCGTTTCCAGGGGGCACGGTCCGTGTCTCTCCCCACCCCCAGCATCCTTGAGCTCTGTGCCCCAATCCCCAGGCCACCTCTCACGTGGCCTGCCTTTCTGGGGAAGGACACATAAGTGCATTGATTCTATGAAAAATGTACCGCCTTTGTGATTTATTCGTTGTCTCTTGTAAGTCCACATTAAGCATTCTAGATGAAGTTTGGGTCCTCTCAGCATCACTGCTTTCAAAAACCTGCATGCCCAGCTTTGTGTCACGGCAGGCTGAGCCTTCACGTGTGTGTGGCGGGGGCTGAGGTCCGCCCTGCCCGGAGCACAGCTGCCTTGGACCCGCGGGGATCCAGGCGGGCTCTGCTCTGGCTGGCACCTGCTGAGCCGACCACCCGCGGCCTATCCAGGTGTAGCATGGGCCCGCGTCCCCTGTGAGTGGCGGACAGCCGTTTCTGCCCAGAAACCCCATGCCAGACACCGGCATCAGCATCTGCAGCTGCTGGGCCCGCCCCACACTTTTTGAGAACTGGAATTGTGTTTCCACGTCCCATCTTCCTGCAGCTGTCTTGTCCCTCGAGGTCCTCGCTGACCACTCTAAGACGGACAGTCACTGGCCGCCTGGGGCCCTCTTTGCTGACACACGTCTGCTTTGGCACGTCTGTTGCCAGTGCAGCAGCCGACCCGCCGGTTCCTCTGCCCCAGGAGGCAGACTGTCAGCAAGGCACGCCGAGACCCTGGGGGCACTGCTCCGGGGCTGGCAGCAGCTGTTTGGGTTAAACTGGGAGCTTTACATGTTTTATTCCACTCACCCTCTCCCTGTATGTGTGAGGAAGGGGGCATTTTTATTTCTCAGAAAAGGCTGTCACCTGCTAAGGTCAACAGCTGGTAGGTGGTAGAGGTTCCACCTGGTCCCAGACTGTGGCCCTGGCGCCAGGCTGTGCTGCCCAGGCAGGCGTCAGGCGGCCAGATCTGCCCATTTGCCAGCTCCGGGTTGTGCATCCCAATCTTGTCACCGTCTTCCCGTCTCTCCCTGGAGTCTGGCTTTTCCCTGATCACATCGTATCTCGTCCCTCCCCTCTCGTTGCTCCCAGAGACTCAGCCTCTCCTTTCTCGCTGGGTTGCCCGCGTGATTCCCCAGGGCCTTCTCTGCTCTCGGCCTTCACATTGGATTACCCTGGCTCTCAGCAGCGGCCAGACTCAGGCTTCTGTCCCACTGTGACTTTCGAGTGTAAGCACCGCCCTCTCCTCTCCCAGTCACTCGCATCGGCCTCAGCGCCACCCCCCACCCCACCCCGTGCTGCGCTCTTGGGGGGCCAAGTTGAGGAGCCTCCGTCCATCCGTTCCTGACACCACCTGCCGTGGAGGCCACAGACTCTTCTTCCTCCCAAGTTGTAGCCACCGTCTGGCAGGGGTCGGGGCGCCTCTGCCTGTCCCCCGGGGCCCCCAGGTGCCTTCCCAAGTTGGAGGTCACCACGGCGATAAGGTGAGTCCCCAGACTGGGGGGCGGTTGTCAGTTTGGTGAGTTCCGGCGAATTTCCTTCACATTCTGAATATAGATTCCGGGAAGAGACCCCGATTCCCAAACTGGCAAGTCTTGTCTTCCCGTGGGAGACCCTTCGCAAGCCCCGCTGCAAGGCCCCCATGGTTCCAAACTGCAGCATGCGTGTGGAATTCCCCTCTGAGAAATGAGCTCTATTTCAGTTTAGTGATAGGAAATTGTTCTTATTTTCTTTTTTTTTTCTTCTGGCCAATCTTTACAATTTTTATTACAAAAATTGCAGTAACATTCCTAGTGTTTCCTTTGTGATAAATGATACATTTTTTATTATCTCTGTTTTCTTTTTGTATTTATTTTTATTTCAGGATATTATGAGGGTACAAACATTTTGGTTACATTTTATGACTTTGCCTCACCCAAGCAAGGATTAGAGGCATGCCCTTCCCCTCTACAACATTCACCATGTCCATTAGCTGTGAGTTCACCCTCTCCCCCCACCCTGCACCCCCAGTCCCTGGAGAATATTACTACCATGTGAGCAGCATGGCGTTGATCAGTTAGTGCCAATTTGGTGGTGAGTACATGTGGAGCCTATTCTTCCGTTCTTGTGATACTTCACTTTGGAATATGGACTCAAGCTCTATCCAGGAAAATATAAGAGGTGCTAGATTACTGTCATTTCTTATCATTGAGTAGTATTCCATTGTATACATATATCATATTTTATTAATCCACTCATGGATGGACGGGCACTTGGGTTGTTTCCACATCCTTGCAGTAGTAAATTGTGCTGTCACAAACATTCGGGTACAGATACCTTTATTATAGAATGCCTTTTGCTCTTTGGGGTGCTGGATTGAATGGTATTTCTATTTTTAGCTCTTTGAGGTATCTCCAAATTCTTTTCCACAGATGTTGCACTAATTTGCAGTCCCACCAGCAGTGTAAGAGTGTTCCTGTCTCTCTGCATCCTAACCAGCATTTGTTGTCTTGGGATTTTTTGAGCGAGGCCAATCTCGCTGGGGTTAGGTGGTATCTCATTGTGGTTTTGATTTGCATTTCTCTAATGATTAGAGATGTTGAGCACTTGTTTATATGTTTGCTGGCCATTATTCTGTCTTCTTTTGAAAAGATTCTGTTCATTTCCTTTGCCCATTTATTGATGGGGTTGTTTGTTTTTTTTTTTCTTGTTGAATTTTTTAAGTTCTAGATAGATTCTTTTTATCAGCCCTTTATCAGATGTGTAGAGAGCAAAAATTTTCTCCTATTCTGTAGGCTGTCTATTTGCTCTAATGGTAGTTTCCTTGGCTATGCAGAAGCTTTTTAATTTGATCAGATCCCATTTATTTTTGTTGCTGCTGTGATTGCTTTGGGGGTCTTCTTCAAAAATTTTTTGCCTAGGCTGATGTCTAAAAGGGTCTTCCCAACATCTTCTTCTAGAATTCTTAAGATTTCATGCCTTAGATTTAAGTGTGTTATCCATCTTAAATTGACTTTTGTGAGAGGTGAGAGGTGGGGATCCAGTTTCAGTCGTCTGTATGTAGCTATCCAGTTTTCCCAGCACCTTTTATTGAAAAGAGATTCTTTTCCCCAGTGTATATTTTTGTCTGCTTTGTCAAAGATTAGATTACCATATTCGGGTGGTTTCATCTCTGGATTCTCAGTTCTGTTCCAAAGGACTATGTTATTCCTATTTTCTCCAAGGTCAGCTTTCTCTAGGTCCATCCTCCTAACCGCCAAGATAAGACAAAAGGGAAATTTAAAATATATGATTGCAAAAACATCCAAAAAGTAATTCAAAAATATAGCTGTTGAATTAGGGGAAAGTCATGGGTATTTGTGTGTTTAGTTTTGTCTGTTTTATAATAGGGGGTGAGGGTAAATTACTGGAGATTGTTCAACAGACAACAAAATCTTTCATATTTTAGCGAATAATTTGAATAATAAAAGTAATATAAAACATACTACAAAAAGAGTAACCTATAGTTCTATAATCCCACCACCAGCATGTTGTTTTTACATGGTTATAATCCTAGAGTACGATACTATTTGCATAACAATTTTTTGCTTGATATTTTCACATTAGCAATTTTCTTTTTAAGATATTATACAAGTACATATATTAATCTCATAACTCATTCAGAACTTTTATTCTATGCAATAGATATAAAGTTAGACTCACGTTTATACTGTAATAGCTGCTTTCATTAATTTAAATATTAAAAAAGTTTTTTAATTTTCTTTTTCTTTATCCTTCTGGACTATAGACATGTGGATGAATAAAGACGAATCTTGGAATTTCCCTCAAGACTATGATCCAGAACTGGTCAAAGAGGAGAAATGGAAAGAATTAGAGTCAGAGCTAAGGGTGCAGGTATAGCTGCATTTTCTGTCATAGTAATGACAGGTCATCTACTGCAGTGATTGTGCTTCTTCACTATTTGCTATTAATGACCTATCTCATAGTTTCACATGGAAAATGCAGGGCATGCAAAGTCACCTAAAAGCAGTACGTTTTGTATTTACCTAGGTTGATGAGTTGATGAGACAAGAACTAAAAAACTTGAAACTAGCTGTGAACAGAGAAAGGGAATTCCCAGGCAAACCAGGAAAGAAGAAAGATAAGGTGAGTAGTGAATGAACGTGGGGAGGGAGCAGGTTGACTCATGACAAGGAGCCCATGCAGCAGCACATTGGGGAGGGCTTCCTGTGGACGCCTCACAAAGAAACACACCTTCCTTTGGTAACTTGGTCCACCATTTAGCCCTCAGGCCATGGCCTCATAAATGGGACAGATCCAACCATCTGGGAGTGACCTCCCCCAACCCCATCTGCCACAGATTCTGATCACCCAAGCCCCACAGGTAGGACAAGAACTATCAAAGAAGCCAGCTTTCATGCCCCCCATCCCATGCTGGGGGTGGTCTACAGGGGGCCATGGCAATGAGCAGGTTCCATACAGAGATCATAGAGAAAGGGGTCAGATGAACTGAATCGTAAGTTGCCACCAAGCCATCTCATACTGGTTTACTTTTTTCTTAGAGGTGTTGGGAGTGGTGGTTTGGTTTTATTTTACTTTATTTTTGTTTCAATAGATTTAGGGGGTACAGGTGGAGTTTTGTTACATGGATATGTTGTATAATGGTGAAGTCTGGGCTTTTAGTGTTCCCATCACCAGAGTAGTGTACATTGTACCCAATAGGGAACTTTTCATCCCTCACTCCCCACCCTCCCTCCTTCCGAGTCTCCAGCGTCCATTGTGCCGTCTGCCCGACCCTGCGTACCTGTGGCTCAGCTCCCACTTGTAAGTGAGAGCATGCGGTCTTTGGATTTTCGTTCCTGCGTTACTTCACTTAGGACAATGGCCACTAGTTCCATCCTCACGGTGGGTTAGGGTAGCTTTCAAAGGTCAGAGCACTCAAAGTTGATTCACTCGGGCCCCTACCTCTGCCTCCATCCTAGAGACAGCCTTGCTTGCCATCCGGGCCAGTGTGTCCAAGGTAGAGCTAAGCCTGCGTCTCACAGCGAGTCTCTGCTTCTGTGACAGCTTTCTCTACGTTCCACAGCTGCTCCGCTGTCCCTGTGATTCACACATTCTCTCTTATATTTTGTCACACATCCAGACGCATTGGTGCCTAGTTTTGCCACCTCAGGAGCCAGACGGTCTCTTTAGAGTGACTCTACCTTGATCTGTTTTGTACTGATGTGGTTTAACTCTGAAGGCAACTGAGTTTCCCTCTTAGCTCTGTTCTGAATTTCCATCACTGCAGTCTGAGAACACTGATTTAACAACCAACAACCATCTACGGATGAAAGCACCTTCACAAGAGCTCTGGAGTCCAAGAGGGGGTGAAACACCCCGTTGGAGCACAGAAACATTTAAAAAGATGCACCAAAGAGATTAAAAGGAAAAGTGTCACTTTGCCTATGTCACTCCTCCACGAAGCCTACACATCTCCTAGGCCCGCTAGCTGTCCCTGGCAGGAAAGGGACAGAGAAGTGAGCATCTGACTTCACCACCTACCCACCACCAGGCCACTCACCTGCAGACCTCAGCACTACAGGCATCTTACAAACCCTGACACCAGGCAGGTCTTTGGACACCAGCATCAGAAAAGAATCAAAGTATGTCACTACAAAAAACCATCAAATTACAAAGGAAGACAGTGAGAGAAGAACAAAAGAACCACAAAACAGAAAAAAAATTGATAGGTCCTTACCCATCAATAATTACTTCAAATGTGGATGAATTAAACTCACCAATCAAAAGATATAGAGTGGCTCAATGGATTAAAAGAAAACAAGATCCAACTATATACTATCTACAAGTGATTCACGTTAGATTTAAGGACACATATAGGCTGGAAGAGGGGATAGAAGATATTTCATGCAAATGGTAACCAAAGAGAGCAGAGGTGGCTACACTTATACAAAACAGTCAAGTCAAAACTGTCAGAAGAGACCAAAAAGATCATTACATAATGGTAAAAGGGTCAATTCAATGGGAAGCGATGACAATTATAAATATATATACACCCTTCATCAAAGCACCTGAACATATAAAGTGAATATTGACATATCTGAAGGGAGGAACAGCAATATAATAATAGTAGGAGACTTCAATATCCTACTTCTATAATGGATATACCATCCAGACAGAAAATCAGTAAGGAAACACATACCACTGTATACCAATGGTCCTAACTCCTAACAGTTATTCTACCTGGTTGCAGCAGAGTACACATCATTCTCAGGTACACATAGAACATTCTAAAGGATGCTCTCCGCATCCTGGGTCACAAAACAAGTCTTAATAAGTTTAAGAAGATTGAAAACATTCCAGATAGCCTCCAACCACAGTGGGATGAAACTAGGAATCAGTAACAAAAGGAATATGGAAAATTCACAAATAATGGAAATTAAACGACACTCTCTGAACATCGGGTCAAGGAAGCAATCTAAAGGAGAATTAGAAAATATCTCAAAGCAAAAATGAAAACACAACATACCAAACTTTATAGCAAGAGCAGTACTAAGAGGGGAACTTACATAAATGCCTACATTAAAAAAGAAGAAAGATCTCAAATAAACAACCTAACATACCTCAAGGAACCAGAAAAAGAGGAAACAGTAAACCCAAAGCCAGCACAAGAAAGGAAATAATAAAGATTAGAGCAGAAATAAATGAAATAGAGAATTAAAAAAAATGATGAAACTAAGAGTTGGTTTTCTGAAAAGATTTTTAAAATTGGCAAACTTTATGCTAGACTAAGAAAAAAGAGTGAAAGCTCAAATACATAAATTCAGCAGTGGAAGAGGAGACATTATAACCAATGTCACAAAAATTTAAAAGATAACAAAAAACTATTATCAACAATTATACACTAAATGGACAACCTAGAAGAAGTAGATAAACTTCTGCAAACATACAACCTGCCAAGACTGAATCGACAAGAAATAAACAGTTTCAACAAACCAATAGTAAATAGAGATTAAATCAGTAACCAAAAACCTTCTTGGGATGCTGGAACACAAAAGGAGATTAAGGAAAAATACGTGGAAACCTAATGAACTGTGCATTTTCATTGATAATATTGTGCCAATATTGGTTCCTTCGTTGTGATAAATGTACCTTAGTAATGTAAGATGTTGATAGGGAAAGCTATGTAAGGGGTATACAGGACCTCTCTGTACTATTTTTGTAACTTTTTTGTAAATATAAACTATTGTAAAATTAAAAGGTTTTATTTGCAGATGACATGATTGTCTATGTAGAAAAATCCCAAGGAATCTACAAAGAAAGTTCTAGAAACAATAAGTGAGTTCAGCAAGGTTGCAGGATACAGGATAAACCTGCATTTCTATATACCAGCAATAGACCCATGGATACCAAAATTAAATATAGCATCATTTAAAATCACTCAAAAACTGTAGGTGTAAATCTAACAAAACAGGTACAAGACTTAGATGTTAAAACTGCACAAAGCTGATGAAAGAAATCAAAGAAAGCTAAATAGACTGACATACCATGAGAGGTACTCAACAAACCAATAACAAAGAGATTAAATAAAGAGAAATGGCAGTTCTCTCCACATTGATATACAGGTTGAATTCAACGCTATCAAAATCCCAGAAACATAATTTGTAGATATAGATGAGATTATTCTAAAATTTATATGGAGAAATAATGGAACTAAAATAACTGAAGCAATTTTGAAAAAGGAATAAAGCGAGAAGGATCGATTCACCCAGGTTTATGGCTGGTTGTACAGCTACAGTGACCAAGGCTGTGTGCTGTTGGGAGCGGAAGAGACAGATACACGGAACAACGGAACAGGACAGAGAACGCACAGCAGCCCGCCCAGGTCTGCCTGGCTGATTTTGACAAAGGTGCAAAAGCGCTTCAAAGGGGGAAAGACACCCTCTTGGATAAACGGTGCCGGAGCAACTGGACATCCATGAGCAAAAGGAAATGAACCTAAGTCTCGCACACTGTCTGAAAATTAATTCGAAATAGGTCACAGACTCTACTTTTAGAAAAAGATATAGAAGACGTTTAGAATCTAAGGCTAGACAAAGAGTTCTTAGAATTAATACCAGAAGCACAATTCATAAAAGGAAATATTGGACTTCCTCAAAATTAAAACTTTTGCTCTGTGAAAGGCGCTGTTAAGAGGATAAAAAGACACGCTACAGACTGAGAGGAAATATTTGCAAACCACATATCTGACAAAGAGCTAGTATTCAGAACACACAAAGAACCTCAAAACTCAAAAGTTAGACAACAAGCAACCCAGTGAGAGAATGGCCGAGAGACAGGAAGAGACATTTCACTGACGGGGACGCAGAGACGGCAACAAGCGCGTGAACAGAAGCTCGGCATCGCCGGCCACCGGGGTGACGCACGCAGAACCGTGATGACAGCGCTACCCCCTGTCAGCACGGCTGGAATAAGCACCGGCGACGGCACCGAGGGCCGGGGAGGGCGGGAGGAGCTGGACCGCTGGCACGTTGTTGGTGGGCGTGTGGAGTGGCACAGCCACTGGGCGTCACAGTTGGGCTGTTGTTTTTGTTTTTGTTTTTTATTTTTTCTTTCTTCCAGCATGTTATGGGGGTACAAATGTTAAGGTTACGTGTATTTCCCTTGCTGCTGTCCCCCCTCGAGTCAGAGCTTCAAGCGTGGGCTATTGTTTTAGAAAGCCAAACGTGCACGTCCTGTACAACCCAGCATTGCACTCACGATGTTCATGCCAGAGAAACGGGGACTTGTGTTCACTAGTGAATTCTTAAAATCTTACGTTGCCTCGGCGTCTGTGCTGAATATTAAGTTTAACTTTCTCGTACTGGAAGCAGGGCTTAGTCGACCCGTCACTGTCCCCAGTTCCCCACCTCCCCCAACTCCTCAGCGTCATCCGCCCAGATGACAACCGCCTCCTTAAACAACAACCGCCTCCTGGCGCCCACCGCTCTGTGGGACGGCTAGATACAGCCTCCCCGACTGGCCCCGCTGACCCCACACCCCACACGGACAGCACAAATACGCCCCAGTGACTGACACCCATGTGTCACAGCATGGTGCCACGGAACTCACGCCTGCTTGCTGTAAACCCTCCTCCTCCTCCTCCTCCTCCTCCTCCTCCTCGCCAGGGCTCCCTGGGGACTGGCTGTTTCAGTAGGAGCGGATTGGACACAGGTCAGACCAGAGCCACAAGGGCATCTGCCACTATAAACAGGTGTCCTGTGAGAGAAACATCTGGTCACTGGGCAGACACCCAGGCACTGGGCCGTCCACCGGGATCAAGAAGTGTTCCGTAAAAGGCACACTGGACACCCAGTCCCCGAGCCCCGTCAGGGCAGGGCTGGACTCTATACCCACTCTCCAGAGACAGGCCTCAGGGCCACATTAGAGAAAAATTCAACACCCACACACCCACGCGCACACACACACACACACACACACACTTATAGCTGCTCACTTAATGCATACTAGCCTGACACTGGAAACAGCGACAAGAAGGAACCAGCTATTGATACACACGACGACCTGGGTGAGTTTCTGGAGAATTCTGCTGACTCGGAAAAGCCAACCCCCACAGGCTGCACTCTGAGGTTCTGTCTATGCAGCATTCTTAAAAGGACACAGTTACAGAAATGGAGAACAGATCGGTGGTTTCCAGGGGTTAGAGACAGGGTGGTCTTGGGAGGGAAGCGGCTGTCACTATAAAAGGGGGGCACGAGGGTCCCTGTGGTGATGGAGACGCGCTTTGACCACGTCCCCGTGGACATCCTGGCTGTGCTCTTGCGGGACAGCTGTTCTTCGAGGCGCGGCCACGGGAGAAACCCGGGGGAGGAACGCGCCGTGTGCCCGTACTGTCTCTTACAACTGCGTGTGAATCCGCCGTTATCTTAAAACAGAAAATTAAGTTTTAAAAACCTGAAGGACATGAATGAAGTTTGGCTTCGTGCAGCCGTGCAAGTGAACCTTGCGGCTGTAACAGTGTTGGAAAGAAGCCAGACGTAGGAGAGCTCGTGCGTCAACAGTGAGACTCCACTCGCAGGAACGGTGTCGCCCACGGGGGGAGCGACGCTGCGGAGAGCTCAGCGGGGAGAGGCACGTCCTGCAGTTTGAACTGGGCGGTGGGTGTGCGCTCACATTATAAAAATTAAATGTGAAAGCCAGTCAGCCCGCGCACGGGCGCGCGCCGCATGAATTGCTCTGCCACAGAGAGATGAACGCATGAGGAGACGGGCGCGGAGGGCGGGCGGGGGCCAGGTGAGAAGGCGCGAGAGGCGCAGGTGCGCGTGGGGAGCGCAGGTCACCTGAGGCGCCGGTGTAGACGGCGGCACAGAACAGGAGGACGGACCTGCTAGGGAGTTGGCCCCGTGCGGGCTCCGCGGTGGAGACGTCACCTTCCGCCCACACGGGGACGTGTCCAGGTAAGCAGCGTGGGATTTTCTAGGCCAAACCCCGCATCCGTGACAACGCTGCGGCTCCGTGTTCCGCTTGTCGCTAACTTTTCACCTCCCGCCACCTCCAAAGACAGTTCGTGTAGCTCATTTCTGGGCTTATTTGCTTGCTTTTTTTTTTTTTTTTACTAAATTGCTGGTTATTTCCACTTTTTTTTTCTTTTTCAGAAAAATAAAGGGAAGAAAGGCAAAAAAGGGAAAAAGGACAAAGACCTGACAGCTGACAGGTGAGGAACTGCTCGCGCTGTCGCAGGGCACGTGGACGGGCGCAGGAAGCCCCAAGATGCGGCCTTGGTGCTGGCCGTGCCTGGCGGGCCCCGCTGCCATACCGCGCCCCTTCCTCCTAGAGTGCCGTGGGGGTGGCAGGCCCCCTGGCGAGTCCTGCGCAATCCCAGTTGGAAAGGCGCCCGGAAGGGCCGGGAGGCGAACACGCCTCCTCATCGCATCTGAGCTCATGTAACGCTTTAGGTTTTAAAATTCATTCCCAGGGGCGGTTCTTGAAAAATTGTTTAAGAAATAACACCCTGATGAAACTTTTGAGAAAGTGCCGAAATTCTGTGTCCCCTCAGGCAGAGACACGCCCTGTCCCTTGCATGGCGCCGGCCCAGCCTGGAGGCACTTGGTCCTGCTTGTCTAGGGACGAGTTCCCAGGATGAGGCTGAGCCTGGTGAAGGGACGTTCCCACTCCCTTGAGCTTCCCTGGCCCAGCTCCAGCACAGGACTAACGAGTAACTTTAAATGCTTGTTTTTGCATTGAAATGGCCCTTAACGTGCTTTAGCATTGAAAATAAATAGTACCTAGGTTTTCTAATATTATTAAGGAATTTAATTAAAACCCCTGATAAACAGATGTCAGACATCACTTTGAACATATCCCTTCCTTCTCTTGGGTTTTGTGAATGGCTCAACATGTGTTGCTCCCCTATTTGGGGGTGTTCTCCAGCTCTCCCTTGGATCCAGCATTATTCTTCCCAAAGTCTGCTAGACAGAAGGCCCATGAGACAGGAAGCCCAGCTTAGAACTATCGAGAGGGGAAGAGAAGACCAGGATAGCCCAGAAGCCAGCACCTGTGTCTGCAGACACCTCCAGTGGGACCGCGGCACCTAGAGCCAGCAAGCAGCCTCTGGGAAGACAGCCGGGGCAGGTGTGGGCTCTTCAGAGAACCAGCTCCCACGGGGTAGCCCTAGAAGGAGGGACCGCAGGTTTCCCCACCTGAGGTTCCGTCGTTTGGGGAACGGCTCAAGCTAAGGAGCCGTGGCCGACTGCTTCCTAAGGGGCCCTGGTCAGCACTTGAGACTCAGGTGCCCAGTTCCCGGGGGGAGGCACCCATGTCTCCACACACCAACACTGACACCTCCGGGGCAGCTCCTGGGGACAGAGGGAGCATCATAGTCCATCCAGTGCGGAGGGTCTGGCCCACACCTGTACACAGTGCCACTGCTATCTCTTAGTGGCTTCTAGCTGCCACTTTTCTCCGTTGTTCTTAGCTGTTCCCAAAACAGCTGAAGTCTTTCAGGTGGAGATCAGGTTCAGTGCCTTATCCAATGACAAGCCCAGAGCTGAAATCAAATCTACCAGTATGACCCTATCACTAGCTTAAAATTATTCACTCACATTCTCTTGCGCGTAAAGTATCACTTTACCGAATAAAATGCTGCTTCAAAACGTAGGCCACACACGTGTGCCTCATGGCCAGTGCCCATTAGATGTCATGTATGTTCTTGACATGTGCTTCTTTACAGTAGAAACATCGTAAGTGAGCTGGAAATAATTCTCCAGTGAAATGCAGAGTGGCTGTTATTTGATTCGTATTTATGCCCAGAAATACAGATATATCTGGTCATCGTATTCCTAAAAGACTTTTCATGTTAATTTTAAAGGCCCTGTGTCACTAGAGTAGGATTAGTTCTGCCATGATCTTTAAGACAACTTCTGTTTCTCGCATTAAATTAATATAACCCTTAAGATAGCATTTTTATCATAGTTTAAAGTAGTTTTAAGGTTGAAAATGTTGTATTCCCTAACAAAAGTTCATTTCACTGGAAAAATCCAAATGTAGGTTTGTGTTTAGGCCTTCTTAATATATTTGTTTTGATTATGTTAGAGAATCTTCTTTAATTTTATGTTAATATTTTATGCCTGTGGTATGTGTTTATAGTAAATAAGTATTCAAGTTAAAACACTAAACTGATACTTCCTTGATATAGATCAGATACTCTTATCCCAAATTTCATCACAATTAAACCTTTCTTAGGCTAGGATCACATGCCTGTGATCCTAGCACTTTGGGAGGCCAAGGCAGGAGGATCCCTTGAGCTCAGGAGTTCAAGACCAGCCCGAGCAAGAGCAAGACCCCATCTCTAAAAAAAATAGAAAAATAGCTGGGTGTCATGCATGCCTGTAGTCCCAGCTACTAGGGATGCTGAGGCAGGAGGATCACTTGAGCCTGGGAGTTTGAGGTTAGAGTGAGCTCTGATGACAGCACTGCACTCTAGCCTGGGCAACAGAGCAAGACCTGTCTAAAAAAAAAATTGAACTTTTGTGAATTTTCATCAGAGGGCATGCTATTTTAAATATATTTGCTGGAATACAGTTTCAGTCAACCAAAGACTGAGGCCATTGGATTAACATTTATCCTAACAGTATTTGGCTTGAGTCTAAATGATATTCTTGGGTCTCTTTTAATCACCCTAACTTGAATCATAGTACAGTTGGAGAGTTGTCTAATTATGGGTGTATTTACAATTCTCAACATAAAGAAAGACTAGGGAGGATGGAAGAATAAACAAAAGGAAGAGACTAAACATCTCAAAGGAGCATATGGAATGATATTTGGGCTTAACCTATCTGAATTCCTGCAAGCCAAACCCCAGCTAATATCATTGGGAGTTTTATCCATTATGTGGGATACTATATTCATTTTTTCTCAATTAGTATAAATTACCAGTGTGCGGAATATATGCCCAAGGTCCTCTTAGAGAAGTGGTTTTCACATCTGTAAACACTGCAGAAAAGTATAACATCCTCCTAAAACATCATTGCACTCATTACTTGAGACATTTTATCTTCCGTATAAGAATTATCTTAGTATAAGCCTTTGTTCTTTGTAGATATTTCTTTCAAACTATTATGCTATTGAGTTAAAAGGAAACATAAATTTCACAAAGGATTAATGATCTACTACAGCTTGCAGATGCTAACTGAATATATAATTATAGGCCCATTGCATTACTATTATTGGGTGATTTCTAATTCATATTTGTGCCATCACGAAGACTGATGGAAGGGCAGACTGCAGGAGTTATCGCTGGTCTCAGATGCCCAGAGATATCATTCTTATTAATGGGAAACATCAGATATGCACATGGATGAGTGAAAGTATTGTCTTTAAAAAGCCTAATTTATCCCCAAATTGTGGAAACCACTTCAAAATTCCATGTATTCCCGTATATATAAACATACTTTGAAATAGGTCTGGTTTGTTCTCTGCAAACGTGACGATTAATAGCGATGCCGCTGATTCTGTGTGTGTCTCCTGCTTCCCCCAGGACCATCGAGTCTCTGTACAGGGAGCTGGTGGAAGAAGGATTACTGATCCAGGCTCTGAAAGTCAACCTCTCGGATTACATCGGTAAAGTGCCCGAAGAATAATGCATATATGTGTCACGTGTCTCCCCTTGTGTTTTGAGGTCCCAGTAGCTCGAAGTATGTTTCATTGTGTTTTTGTCCGAGCCAAAGGCTGGCCCATGGTAGCTTCTGGTAAATGTTTGTCTGATTGAATTTATTTGAATAACCTAAGTGGATGCTGTGCACTAATAGGGTTTCTTAGTAAGCCGGCTCCAGCCCTCTCCCCTAACGTGGCGGAAGCAGGTCAGTCTTTGAACCTGCTAGCAAGGTTCTGTGGGCACGATTGCTGGCATTACCTGACTTAAGGACGTGAGGAATTGTTCGAGCTTTCACATTTAAACACAGCGCCCTCAGAGGGCAGCACCTGCTGCCTCCGCAGTAAACAATCCTTTCTTTGCTTCCAAAAGAGACAGCAGGAGTTGGGAGCAAGGAGGTGGGGACGCTTGTTATCACATCACCAACCAAGTTTTTCTCTTAATTTTTAAAAAACTATATGATGACCTACAAACACACAGCTCGACCCCCCTGACGCAGTTACTATTTTCACTTTTATGAAGACAGCATCTCCAATGACTAAGGACACGCTCCTGCATAACCACAAAGGGACAGTCACACTCGGAAAACTTAACATGAATGCAATACTCGTACCCAACGCATAGCTGATATTCAGTTTCCCCAGGGGTCCTGAAAATGCCCTTCATAACTGTGCTTCCCAACCCAAAATCCAGTCGAGGGCCACGCGTGCATTGTCACGTCTCTGTAGTCTCCTTAATGCCTTTCGTCCAGAACAGTTTCCCACCTGTTTGAAGCCTCACAACACTGACGTTTTTGAAGGAGCTCAGCTGTTCTACAGAGTGTCCCTCACCTGGATTTGTTGGGTGGTTTCCTCATTGCTCGATTCAGGTCAGACATTTTTGCCAGGAAGACTACACAGGCGACGCCGTGTGTCTTCTTCTCGGTGTTCCCCATCGGGGCACGTGGTACCACCTCGTCCCATCGCTGGTGACATTAAGGTTGATCTCGCGGCGAAGATGTAGTCCCCAGATGTCGCCACTGTGAAGCTTTGTCTCTCCCTTTATAATTAACGGATGATCCAAAGTTAATAATTAGTGGATGATCCAAGGTTATAATTAGTGGATAATCTAAGGGGCAACTCTCTGAGGCCGTGGAGTTCTTGCTCCCAGCAGCCTTCACAGAGGTTTTAGCATCCACTGGTGACGTTTGCCTGCGTCAATTATTGCCATATCGGCTGTAAAACGCGACTTGCTCCATCGTTCCTTCTGCGTTTCATAGATACCGATCTGCTGTAAGGAAGTGTGGAATTTATTAACACTGTCGTGGTATCAGGACTGTGGACACGCGGGTTCTCCTCTTATTGGGTGTATCATAATCTGTCCCTGTCATTCATTGTTCCTGCTGATGTTTACATTGACCCAGTCTTTGCCGGTAAGAACAAGGAGGCCGAGGTGTTCCTCTGATCAAAGGATGATTGTTTTAAGCCCTTTGAAAGACAGCCTGTTTTCTCCTTGAGAGCTTGGAGGAGGCTTCACATTTCCTAACAGAATAAGAATTTTACCAAAGGATAGATTGGGATATGTACTGGATTTCTATTTATTTCCTTTTATGTGTTTCTTGTTCAAGTGCTAGAGAGTTTTCTCCTCTATTCCCTTGATTCTGTTAGTTAATTCTGTTAACGTTTGTAAAATAACCGTTTCTAGCAGAACCGTCTCTTATTCGTGGTCTGCATTTCTGAACCGAAGACCCTCATGCTGAGTACCATGCCTGGCACACGGTGGATTCTCATGACCTCGTTTTGGACTGATTTCTTAACTTAGTAATTTCTTATCCGTTCAGGACTCTTCCAGTGATCTGGCATGTCTAAGGTCAAAGTAGATGGGCTCAGCCACTCAAGAGTGACTCTGAGCCTAAATGACCAAATCTAACACAGTTAGTCAAGTTTCCCAGGCTGGCATAGTTTGACCTTGTCCATATTTTTCTTAGTGTTCTCCAGTTAAGATCCTTAGCTTGCACGAATCCTTAGCAGCGTACCTTCCCAAATCCCCACATAAAAAATACAGCAACTAGGTAGCAAAACCAAAATCCCTGAGGCAACACTTAATGACACCACAACTAAGTGGTGTCAACTAAGTGTCAACGAGTTTTCCGTCTTGAGCCCCAAAGTACAAGCCGCTGGGGACACTGAAGGACCTGAGAAGAGGAGACATCCCCTCCCCCAGAATAACCAACAGGAGCTTTCTGGGGAGTGCAGTGGACTGAGGTGAGAACTGCAGCGGAACACGAGAAGGGTTTGGCTCCCTCAACAGAGGATGCGTGCAGGGGGCCGGATAAGGAAGCGTGAAGGGCTGGGGCAGTTTAGATCTCGGAAGTGACCTGCTCCGGTTCCCATCCTAGCCAGGGCCGCGTACTAAGAAGAAAATCTTGGCAGTGGAATCAAGATTGAACAGGATAGGGAAAATAAAGATGAAACGGAGAGAAGACCCCCAAGAAATTAGGGGAAAGAACAGAGCCAGAACATCTTGGAACGCAAGCCACCACATTTTTAACATACATAAAGCAACAGAAGAGGGAGCTCTATGAAACTAGACAAGCTTCCCTGAATCATACTTTTCCTCTAAAAGTATAGAAATATTAACACATGAATCTGAGCAATGGAATATCCAAGGTCAAATCCCACATAATTATCATAAGAAAAAAGAATTAACATTGTGATGCACACCACAGTAAGTAAGTTTCCTAACTCTGTCTATTGAAAATGTGTTAAAGGGCAGACATGGAGGCTCATGCCTGTAATCCCAGCACTTTAGGTAGCTGAAGCAGGAGGATGGCTTGAGGCCAGGAGTTTGAGACCAGCCTAACAACATAGTGAGACCCTGTCTATAAAAAAAAAAAATGATAATAATTAGCCGGACGTGATGTTGCACACCTGTAGTTCCCGCTACTCGGGAGGCTGAAGTAGGAGGATCATTTGGGCCTGGGAGTTCAAGGTTACAGAGAGCTATGTTAGCACCACTGCACTCCAGCCTGAGCAACAGAGCAAGACCCTGTCTCAAAAGAGGAAAAAAGAAAGAAATACTTTAGAGACAACGAACAGTCAACCCATTAGCATGAGTGTTGCTAGCTCTCAGATCTTAAAATGCCATTTCCTACTCAAACAACCCAGCATTTCTTGGGAAATTGCTGGTTTCATACAGGGATAGGAAACATCTTCTTGTATTAGAAGCAAGGAAGGTCTCAGAGACCACCAGGTTCATGGCAGAAACCTCAGGAGCCAAATTGAAGAAACTCCCTCTGGCCAAAGACGGGACATACTTAGATCCACTAAGAATAACAAATATAATGGATTGAAACTCATAAATATATTTTTATTTAAAGTACATAAGGAAAAAAAAAGTACATAAGAATATTTTGAAAACTGATTAGCCATCTTTGGAGGATGCCCGGAAGCCAGGGCATTACCTTGGGAACTGGCAAGGAGAAAGAATGGAGCACTTGTCCTGCCTTTCCCATATGAACTGTACCGCCAGGTAACAAAACAGTACATGAGGGACACGCTTCTTTTTAAAATAAGTTCAACTAATGAATGAAAAATAAAAGAGTAGAAGTAGGACATCACATGCCGCCACCTCTACTGGATCTAGGCAGTGACGATCAGTGGCTGGGGATGTCACGACATAGTGGAAAGTGGACATTGTGCCTCCTGGCATGGCACGGCACACCGGTAGTCTGCTAACGGGCTTCCCTGCGTCTGGTCACGCCTCGGGCTGTGGCTGCCAGGGTTAGGGTGTGAGAGGACACGGCGGACCACGCCAGGAGAACGCAGCCGGCAAGCGCGGGCTCATCCTCAGACACAGGGTGCGGGGAGGAGCAGGGAAGAGAGCCTGCGGGTTATCATAGATTCCGGAGACAGAGTAGAGTCTCCGAGTGTGCACACCTCGGTGACAATACTGTGAAGGAACACAAGGGAGGGATGACTGTGGGATTTGGGGCAGTGGTTCCTGTTGGCAGGAGAGTGGGGTCCGTGACCAGGGTGGGGCACACGGTGTTTCTGGGCTGACTGCAGAGGTCATTTCGTGACCTGAGCAGTGCTCATCTGATAGAAATTCGCTAAGCCGCACATCTATTTATGTGGCTCTCTGTATCTGTGTTTTGTTTGACAATTAAAGGGTATTTTTTACAAAGCTCCTTAGCTTGCACTCTGAGATAGGCAGTGGATGCTCCCCTCTTTTGGTGTCCAGTGTCGGCCACTTGTGTGTCTCCCAGGGACTCCAGACTCTCAGCCCTGCCCTGGGGTCCCGGGGGAGGGGTCTCGTGGACCCACCCCCACCCGCCTGTGCATGCACGCATGCACACAAATGCACATAGATGCGCGCACACACGTGCACACATGCACGCGCGCACACACGTGCACACACGCACATGCATGTGATTGCAGAGCCTGCTGCTTCCCGCCCCAGCGGGCTGCGACGTGGGCTTTCCTCCTGTTGTTCCCAGTGATGCTGTCGTCTGTCCTTGGCGAGTTCCCGAGTCCACATTTTATTCACACCTGCAGTGCCCTCCCTGAGCTCTTGAAGCACGTAAACTGTTCTTTCCTGAATGGATCTGTTGATCTTGCAGATTATCTGCAAGCCTTGTGTTCTCAGGTAAAGCTTTATCCAACCCTTGTTTGCTTATTCCTTTATTCTTTAACCACCGAACCATCTCCTGGGCAGTGACTTTGTCTGTTTCCTCATCCTTCTTTAACCTGAGCAAGTCGTCTTGGTAAGACCGGGCCACACAGAGGCTGTTTGACAAGCCTGTCCTTCCTACCCCACCCTCGGATTTGACACAGGGAGCCAGCTGTCTAGAAGGGAACCTCAACATCTGGGCAGTCATTCAATTGTCGATTGCTGGTACCCCCAGCCCATTGCTGATGGGGAAACAGATTGCCCATACCTGCAGTCCAGTCGCCCTCGCCAGCCTGGCTGGGCAGGTTCCCACCTTAGGGACTGGGATCCTGCACAGCTGGGAGCCACCACCTGATCAAGTAAGTGTAGGGACTTGTAAACCCCCCTCGCCCCCCGCCCAGTTCTCAACACTCAGCTGATTGTTGCCTCATCTTGGTTGTCATGTCTAAGAAGAGAATTAAGGAGAGGAGGACCCAGGCATCGTCTGTCAGGTTCCCTGATTTTGATTTTGTTGTCTTAGTTGCTTTTCACACTTGTACCCAGAGCTTTGGCCCAGCCGGTCCCTCCGCGTCCCACTCTGCTGTACCAGCGGCCAGAGTGCAAAGGCTGAGTGCTCAGAGCCTTTTCTTTTGCTTCTGCATCGAGGCAAGGAGAGAGGGTGGGTGTGGGCTGTGCCTCCCCGTCCCGAATCCGGGCAGGCAGGAGGGAGCACAGACCCCCAGACCCGGAACGTAGCTCCACCGCGTGGACATCTCCACCAGACCAGGGACACCCCACACAGATCCAGCCCACTCAGTGCCACCGGGATGCAAAGTTGGTTTTTTAGAGTCTTAATACTGGCAATCCCACCCGCTTCTCAACACCCCTCAAATCCCAACAGTCATTAGAGTCACAGTAGCTCAGGGCTGCAAGACACTGCAGAGGAGGAGAAAGGGAGCCAGAGGGTGCTAAGCCTGTCTCTGTCAGCTTTCTGCGGGCCCACACTTGCCGTGTCCCCGAACAGCTGCCCGGCTCCAAGCACTGGCCTGTGCCCAGTAGCAAGCTCCTGCTGCAATTTCAAGTGTGCAGGAAATAGCACATTTCCTATTTTCTTTAAATCACCTTGATTTGGCTTCACAACCCCTAAATAATCAAGGTTAATCAGAATCGGCCCTTCTTAGCAGCCCCCACACCAGCCCTAGGTGATGTGAGGTTCCCAGCACCCAGGCAGGACCTGGGTGCTGCTGAGGTGCTCTGGGCACTGGATGCCGCCAGGGCAGGGGGCTGGCTGCCCACAGCTCAGGGACCCTCTGACCAGCTCCCTGTCCCCAGGCCAGGGGAGTCTCTGCCTGCCCCTGCAGCGGCGTCCTCCCAGATGCTGGTCCTTTACTTCATCTTTCTGTGCCTCAGTTTCCACTATTACAGGACGGGGGTAATAACTGCTCACTGATGTCACCAGGCAGAGCGCTCCAGGCCACGCTTGCACAGCCATCAGCTATTGCTCCTGCCACGGTCCTGCTGGTGCCGCTGCCACCCAGCCCGGCCTGGCTCGGGGTTTGCCATGAAGAGGATGGAGTGCTGACTCTGCGGAGCCTCCCGTACCTTCCTCCCCGTCCGAGTCACAGAGGCTCGAAGCACCGTGGAGAAGGGGAAATACCAGGAGAACAAACACAAATCAGTGTCCCTAAATCAGCCTGCCACACCCATGCTCAGTAACCGCTGTGCTTGCTAGAAACACGGACCCAGGCCAGAGTTAGCGTCACTCCTCGGTATTCATAGAGGTCGGAAGACTCCACAGCTCCCCCAAATTCCAGTCCTAGAAGAAATTATTTACATTTTTGCACATGAAAAATGTCTGAAGCTTTGGGATAGGCGCACACCCTCCCACACACACAGTCTTGGCAGAGCTGTTGCAGCAAAAAGTCACCCTGTGGCAACGTCTCCCTTGAGTAGCTGGGACATTCACACCTTTCTGGAAGGTGGGTAGGCTGCGTCGGACACGAACGTAACCCTTCAACATCTCCGGAACACTCTGTACCCGAGCCAGTACGCCTGGGTTTTAACTGTGGAGCACTGGGCCACCGTCCCTGTTAGCAGGAGACTGTGCTGCGTCCCTCTGGGAGGCCCCGCGGCCAACCATCGCGTCTACTCTCGTGCCGTCACCGCGTGTCCTCTCACCCCTGGCTTTGAGTGACTCATTTCAGAAGCTGGTGTTTCTTACAGATGGCTGCATTCCTCACTCTCTTCTCCAGGCTGTGTGGGGTAGAATGGAAATACAAGACGCCGATCTCATTTTCGTTTCTCGTTACTTTTTAATTGTGCTCTTATGTTCTTACCCTATCTAATAATTTCACCCATTCTGTGTTGGTTTTCTGGGGCTGCTGTAACGAGTGCCACAAACTGAGGAGCTGAGACAGCAGAAACTGATGGGCGCACGGTTCTGCAGGCCGCAAGTGCAAAATCAAGGTGTGGGCAGGACCGGCCCCTCCGAGGGCCGTCCCAGGCCTCTCCTGCGCTGCTGCTGCTTGCTGGAGCCCTGGGTGTGTCCTGGTGCTGCAGCACCCCGTCTCTGCAGCACCCCGTCTCTGCAGCACCCCGTCTCTGCAGCACCCCGTCTCTGCCTTCATCTCCGCGCGGTGTTCTCCCTCCGTGCCTGTCGCCCTGTGCCCAAACTCCTCCTTTGTATGAGGACACCGTCCTGTTGGATTTAGGGCCCACCCTAATGAGCCTATCTTAGCTAGATGCATCTGCAGCAAGCCCATTTCTAAGGAAGGCCTCGTTCTGCGACCCTGGGCATACTTGCGCAGGCGTTGTAGGGGACACGGTTTAACCCCTTACGCACTCCCTGCTCTGTTTCCTCCCACAGGTCTAGGCTTCCTGGCCCTCTTCCCTGCCCGCTACTCAAATACCTCTCTCAACGCCGTTTTCCTCTGCCCTCCCTTGTGGAAGACCTGGTGTCTGTACAGGGAAGCCTGAACTTTCCGAGCTCCGCGTGAGTGGACGGGGAGGGGGACGGCTCCCACGCGGGCAGCAGCAAACGCGGTAACGTGCTTTCAGACCGAGTCTCAGAACTTGGCAGACAGCCCGGGCTAGTTGTGCCCTTCACTCTGTTGGAACCAACACCCACTAATTCAGCTGAATATAATTTGTTTAAATAAAATCTGTTAGGTTCTAGAAAATATGGTGCATCTGGATATTAATGTGGGTTTACATAAGCAGGAAAATTGGAGTCACTTTCATATCACCTCTACTGGCATGTTTACTGCAACGCACGCCGCATTTAACGGTTGCTACAGGATCTCTTTCTATTCTAGTGGAGGCTAAATTAACCACTCTTCTATTTATTACCTGCTCATTAAAAAGTGTGGTATCTGAAGCCGTAATGAAAGCTTTCATTATCACTCATTCCCCCAACCAATACCCATTGTCCTTGCCAAGGACTTTTCTTTTCCACGGGGAGGTTCTGAAACGCTGTGCCCCACAACAAAACAGTGATCACTGTCTGAATGTTAACTCGCAGTTTCTTAGCATTTGAAGATGCTCAACAGCTTTTCATATTTTCAGTATTTCATACACATAAATGTGCACATTGTACTTGTCGTACGTGCATCACATTCAAAGCTCTGCAAGGTCAGGACTTGCTACAGGAAGAAAGCGTCAGGGAAAAAAGTGAAGACACTGTGATTCATTCCTGGAATATTTTTACTCGAGGTTCAGATACAAATCAAGGGAGAATCGTATGAGCATGTAAAGGTCCATCCTCATGACAAATGGAGACAGCCAAACTAATTTTCTTGGTGACCTTATCTAAATTAGTTAGAAAATAACACTTCAGATTTATGACTAGTTACAATTAAGCCCTTTGATATCTTCTAATTAAACCTGTAAAGATTTATTTCTGTATTATTCCTTTGGTAATCCTTTAAAAATGATAAAAATGTAAATTAATATTACCCTCAAAAAGAGATGTTTCTATTTACCCTAAATTAGACTCATACCCTTCCTTTCAAATGACTGTATTTTATATTCAGATTTACACTGCTCCAATACAAATTCCATATCCATCTTAAATCATTTATTTTTAAAGTTTGTGCAAATGTTATACATAATCTCTTGGACTATAAATAGAGCAAAACCCATTATATTTTAGCGTTCTTTGTATGTCCCTCATTTTAGAACTTTGTCCCATTTCACATAACTCAACATTCTAATGTTATTTTTAAAAATGTTAGGAGGTTAATGTAATAGTCAATGTAATTCCCAGTTTTCTACAGCAACAATAGTAACGATTTCTTGCCTGTATGATTTTTCTTCTAACCTTTATCTGAGAAAAGATATGTTCTTTATCACTCTCCCTACTATGACTAGATTTACTCTGAAATGTTAAATGTGTATTCTGTGCTAATTTTGCAAGTGCCAAAATTATGCAGCTCAGACCGGCATCATTTCCCACTCAGTCATCCGCTGTTTCTTTTCTCTCCAGGTGAGTACAGCTACCTGGGGACGACTCTTCGCCAGGTGTCCATAGAGCCCATGCCTTCCCTGCTGGACGTCAGACAGCTCATCACGTTGTACGGAATCTTGCCGTTAGGTAAAGACTCCACACGCACTGGGGGGCCTTTCCTGCAGGCAGGCATGCACCGCTTGCTGGCTTTGATGGTGTGTTCCTGTTTGTCACCAAAGGTGCATGGCAGCTTAACTTTTCCTATCAAGAGCTCTGAGTGAGCAGTGTCACTTCGATAGTCATCCACAGGCACACAAAGGCACTACCGGGGAGCACTCTTCTGCGCCATCTCTGGGTGCCTGTTTAACAGTCCTGGGCTGAGGGACATACAGGTAATGAGCTGGAGAGATAACAGGCACAGCGAGTACCTGCAATTAAAATTCATCAGATTAGAGGAAGGGCTGGGGTTCCACTTGCCTTTTTACACACAGGCTTCTAGTACTAGGTCCTAAACGGAGGTGGCCTTTTCAGGCCTTTCAGTGAAAGTGTATTTCATGGATCTAAAGGATCACCTTTAAGGGTCTGTCGGTTTTCACTGAAATCCGCCCTCACTGCTAAATAAGGTTCACTTGTGATTTTACACACAGACCCAGCAGAGCGCTGCGGTGTGCCGAGTGATGCAGGAAAGGTGGGCTGCTCTCCCTCGCTTTGCTTTTTTATGGCTTTGACCTGTGAATTAAAGGCTGAATCACCTGAGGCGAGGACAGCAACTCCAACTGGCCTGAGCCCTCACAATTCTGAAATAGAAATCACATTTTGTTTGTTTAATTTGCCTTAAAATGAGATGGAGCCTGTGCAGTGGCTCATGTCTATAATCCCAGGACTCTGGGAGGCCTAGACAGGAGGATTGCCTGAAGCCAGGAGTTCGAGACTACCCTGCCTCTACAAAACCTTTTTTGCTAGTTTGCAATCCCACATAAGTGTTCCTTTCTCTCCATATCCATGCCAACATCTGTTGTTTTAGAACTTTTTGATAAAAGCCATTCTCACTGAAGTTAGGTGATATCTCGTTGTGATTTTGATTTGCATTTCCCCAGTGATTGCAGATGTTCAGCATTTTTTCACGTTTATTGGCCATTAGTCTATCTTCTTTTGAAAAGCTTTTGCTCATGTCTTTTACCCACATTTTTATGGGGTTATTTGATTATTTTTCTTGCTGATTTGCTTGAGTTCTTTGTAGATTCTGGTTATCACCCCTTTGCTGGATGTGTAGCATGCAAATATGTTCTGCCATTCTGTAGGTTGTCTATTTGCTCTATTGATTATTTCCTTGGCTGTGCAGAAGCTTTTTAATTTAATCAGGTCCCATTTGTTAATCTTTGTTGTTGCTATGATTGCATTTGGGGTATTTTTCATAAATTTTTTGCCTAGGCTGATGTCTATAAAAGTTTTTCCAACATTTTATTCCAGAATTCTTATAGTTTCACACCTTAGGCCTAAGTCAATTATCCATCATGAGTTGATTTTTGTGAGAGGTGAGAGGTGCAGATCCTGTTTCAGTCTTGTACATGTGGCTATCCAATGTTCCCAGCACCATTTATTGAATATTCTTTTCTTCAGTGTATGTTTTTGTCTGCTTTGTCAAATATCAGATGGCTATATGAGGATAGTTTTACATCTGGGTTCTCTGGTCTGATCCATAGGTCTATGTCTATGTTTTTGTGCCAATGCCATGCTGTTTTGGTTACTATAGCCTTGTAGTATAGCTTTAAGTCTGATAAAGTGATGCCTCCTGATTTATTCTTTTTGCTTAAAGTTGCTTGGATATTTGGGGTCTTTTCTGGTTCCATACAAAGCATAGAACTATTTTTTCTAGATCTGTGAAAAATGACATTGGTATTTTGATGGGGATTGCATTGAATCTGTAAATCACTTTGGGTAGTATGGACATTTTAACAATGTTGATTCTGCCGATCCATGAGCATGATATGTTTTTCCAGCTGTTTATGTTATCTGCTATTTCCTTCCTCAGTGTTTTGTAGTTCTCCCTATAGCGGTCTTTCACCCCCTTGGTTAAATATATTCCTAGGTATTTTATTTTCTTTGTTGCTATTGTGAAAGGTATCAAGTCTTTGATTTGATTCAGCTTGACTGTTGTTATGAATGCTACTGATTTGTGTACATTGATTTTGTAACCTGAGATTTTGCTGAGTTTATGATGATACCCCAAAGAACTGAAAGTAGACCTACCATTTGATCCAGCAATCCCACTGCTGGGGATTTACCCAAAGGAAAAAAGTTCATTTTATCAAGAAAACACTTGGACTCAAATGTTTGTTACAGCATAATTCACAATCACAAAGATATGAAATCAACCCAAGTGCCCATTAATACATGAGTGGATTAATAAAATGTAATATATGTATACCATGGAGTACTACTCAGCCATGAAAAAAATCATGAACTAATACCTCTTGTAACAACCCGGATGGAATTAGAGACCATTCTTCTAAGTGAAGTATTGCAAAAATGGAAAAACAAATACCACATATACCCACTATTAAATCAGAACTAATCATTCAACACTTATGTGCATATATGGAAGTAAAACTCAATGGAAACCAAGCGAGGGTGTATGAGTAAATTCACACCTAACAGGTACAATGCACACTATCTGGATGATGAGCACACTTATAACTTTGACTCAAACTGTGCAAAATCAATTCATGTATGTAACCAAAACATTTGTACCCTGATAATATTCTGAAATGTTTTAAAAAAATTTTTTTTAATTAGCCAGGTATGGTGGTACACACCTGTCACCCTAGCTACTCAAGAGGCTGAGCTAGAAGGATCACCTGAGCCTGGAAGTTGGAGATTGCTAGTAATATGATGGTGCCACTGCACTCCAGCCTGGGCAACAGAGTGAGACCCTACCTCAAAAAATAAATAGATAAAATAAAATAAAAGGAGATGGGAGTAGTTCAAGCACTTTTTCCACTTTGACTTAAATAAGAACTTAAGCTTAGGCCTATTGGCAAGAAATAGTTAATTCTTCTTCTAACTTAATATCAGAAGTAGTAAATGGAATTTGAGATCAACATAAATTTTATATATATTATACATATAATAATCACATATTTTATATATGTAATATATAATAGTATAATTTATATTATGTAGTACAGGTAAATATATCAAATTTCAGAGGAAACATAATTTGAGGTCAACAAAATAAATATGTAATATTTGTGAAGTCAGTGTAAGTAAAATAAATAGATTAGACCTCAGACCCCATCACAGTACCATGGAAGGCAGAGTAGCTAATTTAAATTTCATGCATTAAAATAGAATCCTGTTGCACTGAGGAATGTTTTTGGCCCAGGCTGTTCAGGTCGCCGCAGTGGTGGCCCCTGCCCAGACTAGCAAGCCCAAGGACCTCAGCAGAGGACCTTGAGAACATCTCTGCACGCCACTTTCCACACCTGGCCCGGAGATGCCAGCACATCTCAGGTCTAGGGTTTGTCTCCAAAGCCCCCTTGGTAGGTGAGAGAAAGCCCAGGAAGTGTCTGGTCTGCACTCACCCACCCTCCTGGAAATGTCACTGGCCCTGAAGATGAGGGAGGAAGGGCAGGGAGGGGACACTCGCTGAGCAGAAACCGCATCCTCGGAGGTTTCACAGACACCACTTATCCCCCGCCAGCCCCCGTCCGGGCGGATGTCGTTGTGGCATGCAGAGGACCTTCCTCAGAGTCACGGGCTTAGGAAGAGGCAACACTGGTTCGGGACACAGAGCGCTGGCCTCCTCGTTAACCCTTTAATCCTCTGAAAGTTGCACAGGCACAGGCACCAGGGCTGGAACGGCGCCGTGTCTGTTGGTGACTCTAGGGCAGGCGCAGGATGAGCTGTGGATGCTGGGGCCTGTGTGTCCTGCTGGCTCCGGCCCTTTTCCTGCCCTTACCCTCCCAGACCACCCTCTGCACCTCTCTGCACGACCTTGGTGACCACCCCATCCTCTGGGAGGCCACTGCCCTGTGTGCCTGCCTGGCTTTCTCCTGGGTCTCCTGGTCACCTGCTTTGCTCCTCTTCCCTCCCGCTGCCTCTCCCTGGGGTCCTCAGCACAGCTCCCCTGCCCTCCCCGGGAGCCTCTCCCGGCCCCATTTCAGCCAGCACCCGGGACACCCTGCGGTCCCCCAACCTCCCTCCCACCCCTCACTGTCTCCTGTCACCTCACCATCCCTCTCCCCCCGACCCCGGCATAGCACCGTGACCTCCCATCGTGGGCCTGCGTCACTTTGCCCCTCACCTGCAGCCTGCTCACTCCCCCTCGGCTGCTGCTCCTGTCCTGACCCTGCTCGGCAGCCAGCCAGCGCAGAGCCCCCTCCGCCTGCAACTTCCCTCTTATCCGAACGCTCTGCGGCTCCCAGGGGTCTTGGCCCTGTCTGCCTCCCATTCTAGCTATGTCGACTCAGGTCTTAGCTCCACTTCTATCCGCAAACTCTTGACAGCAAATCCTGCATCTTTTCCGTATGTGAACCGCCCCCCAGCCAGGGCCACGCACCTCCGACACCCAGGTGCTAAATGGGCGAGGAGCAAATGGCATCTTCCTCCCACAGTGGAGAACAGCATCTCCCTTATCACACTACGTGACTGCATCCCTCCCTAGCCAAAAAACACGTGCTCGTGTAATTACGTTGTAAAGAGAACTTGCTCAAAACTATTTTCTGAGTTTGTGTGGAGAATGGTAGGTAGCCATAAAAGTTGTGTTTCTAACCATCACTTAAATTTCCAAAATCTTTTCAATTACAAAGGAAAAACATGGTCGTAATTATATTGACCTATTTAGAGCTGATCAAAAAGAGCCCAGTAGGCAACGAAAAGCACACCAGCATGATAGTGTTAATAGATGTTTCAGTCTCAGCCTCTCCAGGATTTAATTCCATTCTCTTCGTAATCACTTAGTGCCTGATTCCGCTCTGCCCGTGCTCCTACAGTGGAGAGCACCCAGGCCTGAGCCCCTCCTGTGCGCTAAGGAGATTGATGGTGTGGCTGAGAACGGGAGGCATGAACCTCTGAATGACTGTAATAACTCGAGTCACTTTATTATCAGGTGCCAGATTAACTCCGCCGCTCCTGGCGGGCTAGAAACCAGGACAGGAGAACACTCCGGTTTCTGCCCCCAGAGCGTGGCCTTCACCTCCAGCTCATAACAACGGCTAAATGCTAAAAAAAAGGGTTTCAGGGAAATGAACACTTCTCAGCGAGCATTACCGTCTGTGACTCCATGTTCCCCTTCCCAAGCTTACAAAGAATTTAATGCTATTGCTGACAGGCAGAGAAAAGCCCTCCAAAAAAAAAAAATCTGGAGCTGCTATTGCAGGAATGCACTTTAAAACTATGAGATTGGGGGAAATATTGGTGTGGGGCGGGGAAGAGGATATTGAGACCCTGTGGCTCCACCAAAAGCCCTGACGTGCAAATTAAAGGTGTCACGAGCCAGCTGGGGTGGAGGCATGCCTCTGGTTTGACATGCTTTCTACTCATTTATCACTGTTGCGGAAACCGGGGCCGCACAATGCAGGCATGGCCTTGAGATACCCTATTCTGAGAACCACTGATTCCCTCGGCAGGATGTTAGAGCCTTTGCCTCTGCCTTTCTTAGGTTCTGCAGCAGTGCACGCGAAAGCTCCCTTGGTGAAGTCGCTGCTGTTGGTGGGGCCGCCCGGGGTAGGGAAGAAAATGCTGGTCCACGCCATCTGTACCGAAACGGGAGCCAACCTCTTCAACTTGTCCTCGCGTAACATTGCAGGAAAATACCCCGGCAAAAGTGGCCTCCAAATGATGCTGCATGTGGTCTTCAAGGTACTTGTTACATTTCTTGGTTTCCAGTTCTCCTCCCTCTTGCAAATTACATTTTCAAATCCTGCAGATAATTTTCTTAGGCAGACAAGCACGTTTCTCGTAAGCTTCCCCATTGCATCCTCCTGTAAGTCACTTCATTATCGCATCTGGCTGAACATGCCGCAATTAGAAACAGCCTCTTTCTTTGCATGCACACCCTACTGTGCCATCCAGATCGCCCTTCTTCCGCCACAAAAATCCTTCCTGAAATGCTTGCACGTCTTATTGAAAATTAAGTCCACAATTTCTTTTTTCAGCCCACCTTGCTTTAATAATTGGCATCAGGTAGAGCTATTTGCATTTTTGGTATTCTTTCTCACACGAGTGCATTCCCCAGCTACGGCGCTGCGCACTCCTGGCACAGGCGTGATGGAGGAGCCTGCAGGAATGTAAATCCACATGATCACAGGGTCGGAGACAGGTGTCCTAAAAGGCTGAACCCGCTACCCAGCTCTGTGATTTTAGCGAAGCTCGGAACTTCCCTGGGTCTCCATTTTACCGTCACCAAAATGAATGAGTTTTAAAGACCTTTGATACAGGATATTTTATGTTTACTATTAAGACATTACAGGATTTAATTTTTATCTGGTTGAAGACCTCAAGGTTATCTTTATGGCAGTCAATTCACTTTAATTGCTAGAATGCCGGCTTTTGCTATATCAAAACCTACATGGCTGCAAACACTGTCCTATACTTGCAGCTAGACCTTGGCTCTGCCTGCTTTCTAAGGGGCTCTAAAGCATGGGAGGTGCTCACAAATGAAATGGTTTATGGGAATGGTAAGCTGATGGGAATGGTCCCTTTTCAGTGTCATGCTAATGTGCCAAACATGAGGAAGTGACAGCAGTCAGATTTTCTCCCTTAGCCACTGTGGTCCCTCCGCTGCCATGGCTTAGGACACTCCCACTCCCACTCTCCTTCTCTCCCCTGCCTGTCTGTGATGGAGGAATACGCAGAGGAGTCCATGGAGTATGCAAGTGCGTAACCACCGTCTTCATGCGTTTGGGTCACTGCATAACTTCTTTTTTGGAAATGTCCGTTCAAGTCATTTACCTACAATTAACTCTTGAACGATGCAGGGGTTGGGGCACTAACCCCACACGTAGTCGAAAATCCAAGTATAAGTTTCGACTCCCGCAAAAACTTAACTACTAACAGCCTGCTGTTGACCAGCAGCCTTACCAATGACATAAACAGTCAATTAACGTATATTGTGTATGTCGCATGTGTTATATACTGTATTCTTACAATAAAGTAACCTAGAGAAAAGAATATGTTACTAAGAGAATCATAAGGAAGAGAAAATATATCTACTATTCATTAAGTGGAAGTGGATCATCATAAAGGTCTCCATCCTCATCTTCATGTTGAGTGGGCGGAGGAGGAAGAGGAGGGTTGGTCTTGCTGTCTCAGGGGTGTCAGAGGTGGAAGAAAAGCCTCGTCCAAGAGCACCTGTGCGGGTCCAACCCTTCTCCATGGGTCAGCTGTACTTTTGACTGGATTGCTGTTTCCATTGGTTCATGTCATTGTTTAGGTTCATTCAGTGTTTTTTTAGTATTTCAAAATTTCTTAGTATTTTGAAGAGCTGAGAGGCAGAAGAGGAGGAAGGTAGGTAGGGAACAAAGAAAGGCCATTATGCTTTATAGAATGCCTTAGGGGTTTCGCCAATTCTGTTGTTGTGTTTAATCTTCACAACAGCCCAGTGAAGAGTTCCTGCCTGCCTCCGTCTTACAGATAAAGAAACTAGGACACTGCAGGGTTAAGTAACTGGTTCAAGGCCACCAAGATCCAGTGGCTGAGCTGGGATTCGAACCTAGGCCCTTCCCTTCTTTTCTCTCCTGTAATCTTTTTATTAAGCCAAATAATGAGATACACAGATCTTAAAGTGTACATTTTCATGAGCTTTGAAAACCGTATACAACTAGGTATCCACCATTTTCATATACTTTTTGGTCCTTGCATAACTTCTTATTTGAAATGTCTGTTCTGGTCACTTGCCTACTTTTCACTGGATTGTTGGTCTCGCAAATTTGTAAGAGCACTTTTTACATCAATGGATTCTGGATACTAGTGTTTGTCAGACACATGCATTGCAAATGTTATCTCTCATTCAGTGACTTGCCTTTTCATTTTCTTACTGAATTTTTCTTGTTTAATGGCTCCATCAATTACTGAAAGGTGGTGTTAAAACCTCCAACTGTGTAGATTTCTGTATTTCTTCCCTTAAGTTCTGTCATTTGTTTCATGTATGTTGAAGCACTGTTTTGAGATGCATCCATATTAGGATTATCATGTCATTTCTTTTTTTACATTCCATTTCTTTTTTCCTGCCTTCTTTTGGTTTTAGCAATACCTCTTTTTTTATCTTTAGTGGTAATTTTATGGATTACAATAGTCACTCTTCATTTATCACAGTCTATGTAAAGGTAATATACCATTTTACATAAAATAAGAGAAGCTTGCAACAATATAATGCATTTACATCTAGAAATGTTATAAACACCACAATAGAATGCTATTTTTGCATTTAACAGTCATTGATCTTTTTAAAGAATTAAAAGAGAAAGATAGTCTTTTACACATACTCATACATTTACTATTTTCAGTACTTCTGTTTCTGTCAATTCAAGTGTCCACCTGCTGTCGTTTCTTTCAGCTGAAGAACTTCCTTTGGCATCTCTTTCAGTGCAGGCCTGCTAGAGAGATATTTTCCAAACCTTCATTTCATTTATCTTTAGGTTATCTTTACATTGCCTTCATTTGTGAAAGCTATTATTCTTGGCTATAGAATTATGAACTGACCTGTATTTCAGCACTTTAAAGATATTATTGAAAGGTTATAAGATTTTCTCTTGATTTCAGTTTTTCTGTTTGACTGTGGCATGCATAAGCATTCTCATTTGTTTATTTATACTACTTGTGGCTCACTGTGCTCACAGAATCTGTAAAAATATGTCTTAAAACAAATTTGGGAAGTTTTTATGATTATTTTTTCAATTTTTTTTTTACATCATTCTCTTTCTCCTCTCCTGCTGAGCCTTCTGTTAAATGCGTGTTTGGTGATTGCGTGATACTGTTCACACAGTCACTGCGGCTTTGTGCTCTATGGTTCCCGTGTCGGGTGCTGATCTGCATTCAAGTTTACCTGCTCTTTCTTCGGCTGTTTCTAATCTGCCACTAAACCCATCTTGGGAATTTTGTGTCTGACATTTTGCTTTTCAGTTCCAGAATTTACATTCACTTACCAATATTGGTTTACATTTCTCTGCTGTAGTTATCCATCTGTTCATTTAATATGACCATCTTTTCCTTTAAATCTTCACACTCGATAATTGCCTTATGTTCTTATGTGCCAATTCCACTTAGTAGTTGTGGGGCCTATTTCTATTTGACTGCTTTTTCTTTGACCATGCCTCTCATTGTTTTGTTCCTTCACATGATTAATAATTTTTTATTACCTGTTAGACTTTGTGGATGCTATGTGGTAGAGACTCTGGAGCAGGCTGGGCTTTGTTCCAACAGACAATTAAATTGCTGGCTGATCAGCTTAAATTTTCAGAGGCTTTGTCTTCTGTTTTGTTTTGATTTTGTCCAAGGCAAATCCCTTAGTGCTGGGACTCGGTCTTTACTTCAGGGTTTCAGTGGAAAATCTGTTTACCAAACTCCTCTAACTTGGCAGTAGCTGAGGTATATGCTCAGTTCTCTTAATTTTACAGCTATTGCTTTCACTGAGCTTCCTGGAATCTTCCCCATGCATGCACACTCCTGAAGTTGTCCAATGATTGGAAGGTGAGCTGGAATTGGAAGCCAGGCAGCCTGACTGTGGCCTCCACATGCTTAATCTCCAAGCTGTAAGCACTAAGTTCTTGAGAGGAAAAGTAAAATAAGCCCATGCCCTTGCCCAAAAGAATACCTAAATTTGTTTATTCTAAGCATCAAATTTTGCCAATACTTGATATTGTCAAATAACAGAAACATGTAAATATAAAAATATTAGTAGTATGTAAGCAATTCGATATCCCAGACCTTTCTATCCCAGACTATGTATTAACTCATCCAATCTTCACAACAACCCTATGAGGTAGGTACTAGCATTATATCCACTTTACTGATAAGGAAACTGAGGCACAAAGCATGTAAGTAATTTTCCTTTGTTGTAATACTGTGATATGGTCTGGCTCCAAAGCCTCCACTTTCATAACTGCGTTCTGCAGCCCCAGAGTGAGGCGGGGCTGAATTAAGAGCCTTGTTTCCTCCTCACCAAATGGCTTAGCAGCTCCTGATGTGAATTCAGGGCAGAGCAATGACATGATCATTATGTTCTCACTCTAGGAAATTATTTGTTTCTGCTGCTGAGAGGTTCTGTCTTGATATCAGATAAGCAATCTTTGCATTTATTAGAATCATCATAAACTGACATTATGTGGCCCACAAAATGCTGGGTGTCAAACTATTAAAATGTGGAACAGCACATTCATCCACCTAAGCCGCTTCGTGCCAGAGTGCCTGACACGCACCTCATTAAGCTTCACCTTTATTGTATATATAGCTGATTAATGAAAAACCCAGAGGTCTCAGGAGTGGGAGTCATTCAATTAAAAGACCGTGTGCAGCGAGGCCACCGTGTCCCGGCATGACTGACAGCACAGCTATCTGCATTGCAAAGGGGTATATTTGCTTTTAATTAACCGCAAGCAAGTGGGATATTACGCGTGCGCCCATGAGTCAGTGGCGGGAATCGGGGCTGTGTTGCTGAGTGAAGTGAGGCACAGGACACAGGCCGTGGCCCGAGTGCAGGAAATGTGGGCCGTGGCATTTGCTGGAGAAGATGAAACAACAGAAGGCCCTGATTGCTCGTCGAGTCTTCTCATAAAGAATCCCTGTTACCGAATTAATCTCCAGCGAGGAAGCAGGGCAACTGTTCGAAGCTGCTCATAATTTCACGTCTGGCTGGTGGCATT